GGTATATGCTAAGCTCATGGAAGCCAGAAAACATATTTCTTTTCCCATGTCCCCAAGAACCCATAGAGTTTTGACTACATAGGTAGTCAGTGAATTAACATCTGTTTATTAACAGATGCTAATGTTTTGCATTTCTGTAGTGCTCTGTATGTTGTAAATGACTTTTAAAACTAGTACATTTTATCCTTACATATTACTGTGAGAAAAAATCAGAAGAGGTATTATTATTACCATTTCATACATGAAGAATCTGAGACTTAAAATGTCTAGCTTGAACAAAATCACATATGCCAGTGCTGTTTCTATGATACCACACTACATTGTGTCTTACTGAAGAAAGGAAAGGCTAGGACATAGCATTTTTTTAGTACCTGGGATTAAATTCAGTGGCACCCAACCACTGAGTCACATACCAAGCCCTTTTTGATTTTAATTTTGAGACAGGGCCTCACTAAATTGATTAGAGCTTCTCTAAGTTGCTGACACTGGCTTTTAATTTGTGATCCTCCTGCCTCAGCGTCCAGAACCACTGGAATTACAGGTGTGTGCCACCACACTTGACTGGGGCATAGCTTTTACTATGCAGGAAATTTCCACCTCAGAAATTTCATCTCCTCTACTAAAAATGTTTGTACTAGAAAAAGAAAGAAATGAGCATACAAAGAAACGGAAATGAAGACATAATACTATGAGTTTCTTATAATATTATGAGTTTCTAATTAGGATGAGGAGAAACATTAATTCTTGGTTAGTAGTTTCAGTGCATTTTAAAATATATTGCCTTTTTTCTTGGGTTTTCTAAATACCTGTGCCAGAACACTTTTATTTTCTTCCTAGTTTCCCACAATAATTTATATCCAAATTGTTCAATATTTCTTATTTAACTGAATCTGAGGTTTCTTGCTTTTTTTGTTTTAACTTTTTTATTGCTGTTTTCTTCCAGTTAAGACTTGTTAATGATTTGAAAATGGAAAATTTAAAAAAAACCATGAGAACATGTAAAAAAAATAAACCCATTAAAATCTGTCTAGCACTTATATTAGTAAATTTGGAAAAATAGCTCTGTGTGAAGAAAACAGGTTTAACAAAGGTTAAAGAGCCCTTTCTTGGGACTCAGTGTGCCAGTGGGGATGCAGGTTATGCAATTCTTGATACAGGGGTGAACTAAGTATTTTCAAATAATATGTGATTCGAAAAAAAAGAACTCTAAGAAAACAAAATATGTGTCCATGAATAGACTATAAGGAAAGCTGCATGTAAATATGGAGCATGTAGCTAGATAAATATGATGCAAAATCTCATGATAAATAAAATTGTTTGAACAAAATAGGTTAGGGGAGGGAGGGAGAGAGAGAGAGAGAGAGAGAGAGAGAGAGAGAGAGAGAGAGAGAGAGAGAGAGAGAGAGAATTGAACACTAATATTTGTTATATAAACTACCAAGTGAATTGTTAAAGAAAAAGCTTTATCCACAAAGGATTTGGTTCATACAAGATTATAACCCTTATTAACATAGATATCATGGGTCAATAAAAGTGAATGAAATATGTTATATGGCATTCATACTTTATTCAATGCAAGATAATGAGCCAGGGCACATCACAGCAGCTCTTTGATGAGGAGGAAAGACTATTAATTCTGAAGTAGTGGAGGGCACTAGTAATAAAATCCTGCTGCCCTTTCAATGTGACATCTCTGTGTTACAATAATATAATTAGGTGAAATTGTTTAGAGTTGTTTTTATTTTCCTAGATGTTGGCATTGAGACATTTCTGCTCAGGGCAAAATTATGTCAGAGTTGTATTTGGCCCCTTTTAATTGCATTTTCTGGAAGTAATAATAATAGTATTGGCTAACATTTATTAAGTACTTACTGTGTACTAGGCACTGTGCTAAATAACATGTTATTATATTCCTCACAGCAACACTCTAAGATAGGTACTGTCATTATTCACATTTTGCAACACCAAAAGATCAAATAACTTATGTGATAACACATCAAGTGTTAAAACTGATATATTTAACTGCACAATTTAACTGTTGAACATTCAATCCCAACTAGACTACTGAACTATACTATACATACCTTTAATCACCCAAATTTTAGTGTATAGAATTCTGTCTCTTCTTCCCACCACCCACATATTAGTGTCCATTGTGATGATTCTCTAAAGGCTTCTAGTGATTATATATTTTTCACTGTATAGTTTAAAACACCTACCTCTTCAACTTTCCTTCTCTCAGTGTCTTTCTCTTTACTTAATGTTGTAAAGAATGTAAGCAAATCCCACTGTGGTATGAATGGATGCTTGACAAAACATCAGGGTTTCTTTTTTCTTTTCTTTTTTTGTCAGGGATGATTGCATAATAAATTATCCCCAATAAATTATTACTAATAAACTTCTAACAGAGGTATGGAGGGGGTGAGAAAGGACAGGAGGGCCTTCTCCGCATCTGGTATTTTATCCACACAAGCAACATATGAAGTTGTACTCACTTGTATCTCCTTCCTAACCTGAATGGAGTTTCAACCTGTGCTCTGGATTTTAAAACTGTGAGCTATGCAATTTAACCTAACAAGCATTTTTTTTTTATACCAGTTCCAGCATTATTGGAGTCAGCACTGAAATTGTGTCTTAACAGCTGCAAAGAATTATTAAGTCTGCCTAAAGACCTGACATTTAACCTGAGAGTGAACTAGGTATTGGGTAAGATTGGAGTTTCATATGGCCTAGATCACAAAGTGGGTTCTTGAATGTAAGTCTTGTTGTACACTATATTACCTCAAAAAATGTAAATATAAATATTCACAGTTATCTCACAGTAAACCCAGAACTGGAAACTTTCCAATAAATTATCTGAAACAGAAGACTATGATAAATAGAAACAATGTTACAGAAAAATTCTTCACAGAATAATTGGACTTGTATTAAAGAATAACTACTTTAAGTGCATATTGGTGTACCCAATTTTCATTGGTTAATTTTCATAGTCTAAAATTGTTTTGTTCTACTTTTAAGTTAGTAAGTTTTAGTAGTGTAAGCAATAAAAGCATTACTGGGTAGAAGTATTTTTAGAGAAATGTCTTGTAACTTGCAGTTAAAATATACTACCTTCATTATTGTGAAAGTAAATAAGCATCAACACTTGTTTTAAATCTAGGTTATCTAGAGGTATTATTTTATGTAAATAGCTACCTACCTCCTTATTCTCTATAGTAAATTACTTTTCATCAATAGAAATTTTGCTTTTTTATTTTTTTTTACAAATTTTTAAATATTTTTACCTTGTTAGATCCAAATTTAATCAACACCTTGTTGATAAATACTCACATGGGAAAAGCAGGAAACTTAGCTGCATATTCAGTATAATCTCAGTTATGCTAAATATGTTATATGCAGAGGAAATGACTAGAATGAAATACATACAAACATAAATACAAAAAGTGTGGTATTTATATGTATTAAGAATTGTAATGCAAAAAAAAAATAACATTACCTTAGATTAGGTAGAGGGAAGTGAAAAAAGGGGAAGACAGGGGATGTGGGTAAAAGAAAAGTAGTAGAATGAAACAGACATTATTACTGTATGTAGGTATGTGACTGTATGACCAATGTGATTCTACAATATGTATACTCAGAAAAATGAGAAATTATATCCCATCTATGTATGATACATCATAGTATAAAAGTGCATGCTACTGTCATGTATAAGTAATTAAAACAAAACAAAACAAAAAGATGTTAACAGTCGGGCTGGGGTTGTGGCTCAGCAATAGAGAGCTCGCCTAGCATGTGCGATGCCCTGGGTTAGATCCTCAGCACCACATAAAAATAAATAAATAAAATAAAAGCTTTGTGTCCAACTAGAACTAAAAAAATAAATACTTAAAAAAGATGTTAACAGTCATAAATATATGGTGGTGAAACTACAAGTGATTTTATTTTTCTTTATGTTTTCTATGTTTTCCAATGTGTCTACAATAAAGTACTTTATATGCATAAATACATAAGCAAAACTGTAAAAAATAATATCAAGGGATGTGAAAAATATCAATCTGATGAATGATTCTCATCCATTGACTTGTCTTTTAAATAGATTTATAATGATCCCCATTCATTTTTATGGAATCAAAAGATTTCAACATCTTAAATCAATGTTTTCACAGATGTGAGAAAGATTTGTATCAATTGAAGTGCATGTTTGCATGTGATTTTCTCCTTGCAACATTCTTTTTTAAAATGTTTTTAATTGTCAATGAACCTTTATTTTATTTATTGATACAAGGTGCTGAGAATCAAACCCAGTGCCTCACACATGCTATGCCAGTGTTCTGCCACTGAGCCACAACCCCCAACCCTCCTTGCAACATTCTTGAAAATTTATTATCTGGGAAGGAAAAGTGATGATGTGTTATTTGAAACTTATCCTTTGTACTCCCTTTTTCCTTCCCCACTAGTTAGGTAATATGAAGAGCTGTAATTGGTATAAGGCTTTGACAAAGAAGGTATATTTGATCTAAATTAAAAGCATGTTCAACTGGTGTCAAAGAGAAACAGGAAAAGTTAAACACTGACACATTAAAAATCTTTGTAAAAATACTATTGTTTTTGTTTATAATGTGGCAATTTACTTGTAGGTTTTACCATTTAAATATGTCCTTGTGGGCAAATCCGTTGCCTGCTACAGAATATTCACAATATTTCATTGGTGTTGGAGTAGTTCTTCATTAAGTAAAGTTTGAGTATATATATATATATATATGTCAACTTGAAATTTAATCAAATTTTCACTTGAGTACTCCATGTCCTCCCTACTGTGACCTCCAACACCTTATTACTCTTTGTGTTTCTCTTTTTTTTTTTTTTTCAACACCTTCTAGTGGAGAGGAAATGATTTGTTTTAAATGGGGGAAAAAGGCTTATAACACAAAGACTGACAAAAAATAAACACTAAAATAAGAAATAGATGTCTATTAGTTGGAAATAATTTATTGCCTCTATAAAAGTTTAAATAAAAACCCTACAAAAATTCACATTACAATCTGATGTGGTTTTAAGGTGATAGTATGCTTCAGAGGTAGTACCAGTAAAAGGGATGCAGGGTTGCTAAAAGGAATTACTTAGTAAGTTAATGCAAAATAAATTTCAATGTGGAACAATATATACTCAGTATACACTTTAATGGAACAATCATAATTATATTCGCATGAAAATATCACTTTATTCTCTTTTCCCCGTTAGCAAATCTGCTCTTAATAAAGGCTTGTTTTATGCAATGGTATGTTGATTGTAGGTTCAAAAGTTAGTAGGCTCCTCCATTATAGCATTACAGAGCATAGCTTGGTGAAGGGTATGATACAGTGCTGTCTGCCAAGGATAACACCAACTTCAAAGAGAAATCTACCTAACATTTAGACACAATGGCATGGACAACTCCCTTAAAAAGGTAAATTATCACAATTGTGCATTTTTAGGATCTGAATAGAAATCTAATACATTAAAAATAAACAATATTCCTGGTATACTATTACTTCAATCTGGAAGAATGGTCACAGTTAACATTTTCAAATTTCTCTTAAAAAAAGATCATGAGCAATCAGGCTGAGATGAGGAAACTATTCACTGAATATAAGTTTAATGCTCTTGTACAAAACAAACAAACAAACAAACAAAACAAGACAAAACAAACAAAAAAAAAACCTCTAGAGTCCAGAATTCTTTTAAATCTACCATTTTTGTTTTATCCTACAAACATGTAAGACTGCTGAATATCAAAAACCCTTAAGCTAGAAGTTTCTGTTTTTGGATAAAATGGCCTTTTAAATATATTTTGAGATCTTGGTAGTACATAGAGTATAGGATGTGTTTGGGCCACAGCCTTTTCTTCTCCAACAATAAGAAACATGTCTTTCACATTATTGCAATAGCAGTACAAAAGTCTTGCTGTTGATAAATAACATTACAATAAAACATCCCCTAGTTCAATGAAGAGGCCAATTTTCTTTTAACATTTTCCGTGCATGTGTTAATTTTCCTATTCTCCAGGGCAACTGCAATTTTCATTTTCTCGTGATTAATTTTAGCTTCATTGCAAGGTAGAAGGTGGCTTCATTTTTTAAGTCCACAGTTTGGAAGTTAAATGCTCTCAAATATATATTTCCTGCTTAAAAATAACTTGGTTATACTAAGCTTAAAGCAGACATCCAAATACAGCTAACAGAAAAAAAGTTTTTTTTTTTAACATTGATTTCTGTTTGAGAAACAATTCATATAGTACCTTGTAGTTTTTTTTTGTTGTTTGTTTGTTTGTTTGTTTTTTCAGGGTTTTGGATCTAATACAGAGCTTTATGCATGCTAAGCACAGGTTGTACCACTGAACTACATCTTTATTCCTATGGTCTGTTTTAAGACTGTAAGCCCTAAAGAAAGAAACACTAGTTGATTTTTACCCCCTTCCATGGAGATGTTAATAAGAACTGCATTTTCCCTTAAAATCTATATCTGTAAAAAAATATGTTCTTCATAATAGTTTTTTTTTTTTCTTTTGTGGTGTTGGGGATTGAACCCGGGGCCTAGCACATGATGTCAATCACTCTATCACAAAGCTACATCTTCAGCCATATAATAGTGTTTTTTCTTAATATTTTAAAATTGTTTATAGACCTTTATTTAGTTTTATTTACTTATAGGTGGTGCTGAGAATTGATCCCAGTGCCTCACACAGGCCAGGCAAGTGTGCTGCCATTGAGCTCCAGCCCCAGCCCTATATACTAGTTTTTAATACTTGACTTTGACATCTTTTTCAGAATCTATGGTGCATAATTTCAATCTGCAAATTATGTTGTTTTGCATGCAGCTGTTTCCTTTGTTTCCAAGATAAGAACAACCACATTTCATTTCAGAAGTGTTTTAATTCCAGTGATGGTAAAAGAAATAATTGTGATAATTAAATACAAATGATAAGATAAAAGGAGTCCTAAATTTACTGTTATGATTTGTATAGTTTCTAGTTTGATGGAACTTTATACAGGAACAAGGAAGTCATCTATGCTTTTTCCCCAAAGTGTAAACTAGTATACCCTCTAGGAATCATACCTAGCGGAATCTTTAAATTGATTACAGTTTCTACTTAAATAAATATTATTAATATCCCTGAAAATTTAACAAGAAACATTTCTTTTTGAAGTCCACAGCTTGCTGAGAAATCCAATATCCAGTACAGTGCCTTCTTTATAGCAGGAACTAAAAAATATATTTTCATTCAGTGACTAAATTCTAAGGTGTGAAGATACAATCTTCAGTGTTAAATTATGTAGGAGAAACTTACCTATTCTTACTTTACAATGAGAACTAGCTAAGAAGAGGGTTAAATTGAGGCAGAATAAATTTGAGTTGAAAGACTCACCATAACTAATGATCCTAGGAGAAACTTTCAGGCTGGGGGGATTTTATTCTTCCTATTTAAGAAATGGTTTCTATTTTCTGTACAGAGTGGGGACTACATCTCATGGAGGAATTGATGCAATGTATAAATTTAATATTAACATCTGAGATTCTGTTACAGAGGGCTTGCTCTTTTTTCTGAATGCAAATTTGACTTGTCATCAAGGAATACTAAACATTGTTTGCAAAGAACCTCTTAGCTAAATGGGAGCATACCTGTGTTCTTGAAATGCTTCTGCTAACAAAGGAACCATAACAGTATTATAGTGGCAATATCAAGTCAAACAAACAGTTGAAAAATGAAGGACTGTCCAATGATCCTCCCCTTTGTGTAGGGGGGATATTTCAAGGTCAAAGACATTCATGATTACCTTTCTGTATTCATAAATATCAGTAAATTCCAAGATAAGAATTGGCTCTCATTGAATTTTTTAAAAAAATATCCGAAATGAAAACAACAGCCATTTAGCTTTCATTAGTCTTTTAGGTATAGATAGTAATTTAACCATAAAACACAGTTCCACACTGCCAATTCACAAATATTTGGCACTGTGAGCTTAGGGCAAAACTGGAATTTTCCCTTCTATGGGTCTTGGTAATATCTTCTGGTATCCCAGAAAGGAAGATCTGCAAAGAACAGTCTGCAATGTGTTGGCATCTGGTAGTTACTAATAGAACAACAGGGTACCATGCCCATTTTAGGTGAATATTCACAGAATAGTATCCAGGAAATTCAGAGAACTAGGATTTACAACTAAAGTAATATAACACTTTTTGTATGTTATCCTTGGCTGATGGCTCTGTACATGCCTGACATGGAAATGAGGTAAATTTTGTGGCAAAGCTGAGTGACTAGATTAAAAAAAAATTCTCAGTGGCTTACCTTGACCTCCTGTTTCATAAAATGTAAGAACTGAAAAAATATTATGAAGATGGTGACAAACTTGAAATATTTGTGCAATATTTCATTTAACATGGTTACACAAATTTGCAAGAATACAAATCTTATCAATGTTTACCATTGGCAGCAATGAAGAATTCCCATTGAGATTAATCTTTTACATTTTGTTTCTATACAATTAATGATTTATTTGACTTTATGTTAGTGAATTAACTTTCTGTATTTTTCTCCCATCCCTGAAAATATTTGGGTCGGATAATAGAAGAATACCAACAATTTACAATTACATACTAGAAATCATTTCAATTTTTAATCATTATCTCAAGTCAAATTCTCATAAGGGTTGAAAAATAAATCCCAGGACTCAGCCAGGTTGAATAATATTTTAAAGTTTTGTTTTTAATTTTCAATCCACTTTCCTGAGTAAAAGTGTATATAGATGATAGGAAAAGGAGAGAGGAAGAAAGATGTAATGGCTACAAAAAGAAGACCGATCCAGCTATAACAACTTTATAAGTAATGTTGAAATGGTTTAATTTTTGTGTCTCCGGTTAAAACTATTACTAAGATTCTTTTATAAAGCCAAGCAAAAGTCTTTCAGAAATCAGACATAATAAATTTTATAGCTAAGTTGTTTAAAATTAAATTTTTCCCAGAGTTCCAGTTTGGAAGAAAATCTCAAATGATGCTTTAAAATTTCACATGCAGCTTTTTGCATTGTAGCCATTATATCTTGTTCATCTTTCACAGAATGTTTCGACAATGCATTTTTCCAACTGAAGATTATTGGGGCAACAGAATACAGTTATCTTGAAATGCACACCTGTTAAGCAGCCAAAAGACTGCATCATATATTCCCCTCCCCCTCAAATCACAAACTGTCTGAGGCATTTTTCTCTGATAAAGAAGACACACTGAATGAGGTATCATCAGGCTCCGGTGAAGCATGATTGAAATCCATCTCTTCTAATTCAGGAGGTAAATCTGACAGCAGTGCCTGAGTCAGAAAAATCAATTTTTTGGATTAGTATGTGGATAGAATTTTTTTCAATTTAATGTTAATAGTTGTAGCCCTTTCATTTTGATTTATTCTCATGGTCTTAAAGAAAAAAGCAATTATGTTTCAGGATCTTATATAATTAACTTACCTAAAAGAAAAAAAAATATATTCATACACTAATAAGAGGTAACATAATACTAGATGTTGAGAGTATGGGTTATGTAGATTAGAACCCTGTCTAAAGGAGAAAATCAGGAGGGAAATAAGCAAGTGTTCTGAACAAAGTACTTTGAAGTGTTTGCGGTAAGTGATTTTCATACTGTATTTGAGTGTTCACTGATCACTGCTAAAGGGTTTTGAAATTGTATTCTTTATTAAAATACCCATGCCTGGTTTCAGTATACTTAGAGAAAACCACATTTTGTTCTTCATTGGGAGAATGAATTTAGTGGTTAGGAAAGAAGTTCAACTAGTCTACTTTAGATTAAACTTTAACAACTTGAAAAGACACTGATTTTTTCTCTTTCCTTACACTATGCCCATATCTACAGATGGCCAAGCACCCACTAGCGCTAGTTGAACCATTAAATCTAACTGTTGTAATGATGTATCTAGAGGCTGCTCATTTCTCTGCTGGAATAATTAGAATAAACTGAGTTTGATGAACTAAGCTTTGCCATGGTCTCATTATTTCATCTGGAGTTGCAGAACATGCATCTAAACTAGAGAAATAAATAATTTATCCAATTTTATGTGCCGATGGTGCGGATGTCCACTTGACTATAAGAAATTGGTACTAAATGATTGATTTGCTGCTCCCAGTGCTAAAAATAATATAGTATATCTGGAAATTTTTAGACAGCATTACTTGTAGTGTGGGCTGTAGGCACAACAGTAAACAAGGACCAAGGGAATAGGAACAAATGAAAGCTTGCCACTATCCAATTAAGGAACAGAAAGACAGGGCATGTTGGAGAACATATGACATCCACTGTTGAAATGAGACAGTTTTTTTTCTATTTTCTTTATTAAAAAAAGTGACAGTTATAGATCTTATACCTGTTGCTGTGTAGCACAAAGGCAAGAGTACATTCTTCATTTTTTCAGAATGTACAAGGAAAGACTACCTCCTATCTGGGATAAAAAGGTGTTTCTTATTTTATATCATTAAGTTGTTCATGAAATTCTTGCTGAAATGGAGAATATTTACACAGCAAAGGTACCTAAATTATTACATGAATTCTAAGGTTCTGGGGTCCAGTACCCAGAAACAGAACTATTTTTCTATAACAGTGGGATACCATTAATCCTGTCCAGGTGCAATGGAACATTTGCTTGAATTGACTAATCAGACTATGAATAATATATCACTGGATTTAACTCACCACCATAGTAAAGAGGGGAAAGTTTTCAAATTAACACTCACTGACCATGTGCATAGAGTCCTGGAAAGTCAAGTAGATGAGAAGACATGATAGTATTCTAAATTCTAGTAAGGAGTCCTACACATCAGAGAAGCACTGTTTTTCATTTCTTTGCCACTGTATTGATGAAGTTGACTGACTAAATTGAGTGTAGTAAGAAATAGTAAAACTTTAATATCTGAGGCAGTATACGGTATTATTAATAAGACCACTTCAGCATTCTTCTTTCGATACTTTAATAGACTGCAGCATTGCCACACTGAACAAATGCTCAGAATATGCCAATTGTTGGAACTGCTTTTTTTTTCATGGAGCCTAACATAAACACAACTTTCTTTATTAAAGTTTCTTCATCAATGACAGCTGTCTTCAGGGTCTGACCAAGTGTCATTCTTCCAAGAGATTATTAAAGCTTTTCCCAAATACACTATCAGTCTCTGTAACAGTTACTGTAGAACTTAAGGTATGAATGCCAAGTTCTATAATGTTATCATTATTATCTTCTTTGTAAAGTGGAGAATTAGAATTCAATAAAGGCAATTGATCAGGTTAGGATCTCATAGGGAATTATTAGGGGTAAAAAGAACTTATGGCTTAGAACAATGCTGGCAACATTATTTTGATTTAAAAAATGGTCATTGATGTTAAAATACCTATTGATAATCTTACATTTCAATCAGAGTGTAACATATAGGCTTAAACCCTGAAATTCTTTACCATGTCAAATTGTTTTATGGACCACTTATTTCAATCAACTTCCCAAATAAGACTAATGGGAAAACAATGACGAATTTTTAAAAATAAGAAACTAATGACACAATAGTTATCTTTTATTAGGTAGACTAAAATTATTTCTGTAAATGAATCCATAAATATTTCAAAATATAAAAATCAATAATTTAAGAGATCACCTAGACTATTTTTATGCACTACCACTAGTGTCTTCTATATTTGAGACCATATTTTTAGGTTCATTATACCCCATATCAATTATGAAAGTCATGAAAATCAGTAGTTTATATTTTGGGTGCTGATTATATAGGGTATAACATTTAGCAAAATATTTATATCACTTTGTCTTTCTTTCAGCCAATTTTTTTTTATCCATATGTTTGTTCATTGGCCTTTTTTCAAAGGAAAAGTAAAAGAGAAGAAGAAAAATAGAACACTGATTAGTTTATTTTATTATTTGCTTGTGGTCTTGGGGAAAGAACCTAAATAGGAATGAGATTATAATTAGAATAAAATGTAGTCTATATGCAATTCCCAGATGTCAGGAGACAGCAATAACTATAGCAGGTAAGTACTAGTTAACTGGACATGAAACTGAATTAAAATATTCTATGAGATTTTGAGATCAATACCATGCTTCACATTATTGCATTGGTTGGACCTAATTTTTTAGAGTTATTTAAAATCTAGAACACTCTTGGGACCATGTTCAAACTACCTTTCTTGTTCACTTATAAACTGTATTTTAGGTTCCTAAAAAACAAACACATTTTAATATGTAATGAAATAGGCATATGTCACATGATAAAGCAAAATGCTTAAATAAAGTTGGCAAAGGTAACTGAAGGCTACCATCTTGATGTTGGTGTATGTATAGGGCTAAAGGAATAAAATTCATGGTACTGAACATGTAATGTACATGCTATTTTAAGCTTCATGAATACTCTTCTAGTTTTAATTTTGTGCTTCAACACATCAGTTAATAATATAAAGATTTTTTTCTTTGAAGAAAAGTGGAATTATGGGATGTTAAAACGCAAATCTTTCCTCATGGAGATGTTGGGATAGGGTATGTATGTGAAGTCTTGCTTGGGTATAGGAGGTGAATTTATTTATACTTCTGACATTACTCACTGAATAAAAATTTCTGGAACTGCTTTCTAAACAATAGTTACCTGACTCTAACAATATTGGTAGGACTTATCAGACAGAAATCTGACATATCAGACAGGAATAGCATGGAACTATATAAATCTGACAAATTTGGTATCCTTTAATATTAAATGGCACATTTAAAATACATCTATAATTATTTTAAGATGAATTAATGATTATATAGATTTAACATAAAAATATGAGACAGGAAATGTAACTTGGAAGGTATTTATAAACAAAAATCCATAGCAAAAAACAAGGGACATTTCATCTTAGAGTAGGGGACTGAAAGAGTTTACTTAAATTGAGAAAATTAAGTTACACAGTCCGGTCAAAGAATTTCACAAAATAATTTCATAATTTCTTAGTGTTGAATAGATCACATAATAGAAGATATTCAAACATTTGTGAATTCTGCAGAGGGCTTTCAGGCAACAAAGTTCCAGAAGAGAGGTAAATAAATGTCTCACTTTTTCATTCATAAAATTTCCCTAATATGTGCCTCTCTAGTTAGGGTAGCCCTGTTTCTACAAACATTTTGAGGAATTTCCTTAAAATCAATTTAAAAATCAGTTTTCCCTACTAAAGTGTGATCTGGAATTAATAAAATATGGAATCAATTATTTAAGTTTCCCACTACAGTGGCACAAAAATCTGAACTCCTTTTCTCAAGAAAACTGAAAAATGTTGTAAAATAACAACCATTCTCCTCCATGTCAAACAGGAATATAAAGTAAAAAAAAAAAGATATGAAGAACCCAGTTGTGACATGCTATTTTACAACATGATGCATTTTCGCTTACTAGTCTCTTTGGGACCTACCTGTTGTTGTTCCTTATCTTCAGATTTCATAGCTAATATCAAGCTTCGAACAAAAGTCTGAAGTTTAAAGTATTTTTGCTTTTGAATCTCTAACTCATTTTCAATGAATCTGACTTCTTCATTCTGAGGGAGAAAACATCAAACAATAAAATTACCCTATGTTGGGCTGGGGTCGTGGCTCAGTGGTAGAATACTTGTCTAGCACATGCAAGGCCCTGGGTTCGATCCTCAGCACCACATGAAAATAAATAAATAAAATAAAGGCATGGTGTCCAACTACAACTAAAAAAATATTTTAAAAATTACCTTATGTTAACATTAGAATGTACATGTTTGAAGCACAATAAAATTCTAAAAGCAACCAGATCAGAGGGACAACAAAGAAAATAAACCAAAACATAAAGAAATATAAAGCACAATAGGAATTATCCTGTAACTCAAAGGCTTCCCTTTAAGCAAATCACCAACAAAAAACACTGTAAGTTTAAAAACCCATTCAAATAAATTCCAATAAGAGAAGTTGATATAAGACACTTCTTATATCAAACAGTTAGCATTTGCATTAGAATTAAGAATATGAGTCCAATTAGCCCTAAGAGCAACACCAGGTACAGCAATGCTGAATATATCATTCAGAAAGCCAAATACTGAAAACTAAAAAGATTGATTTATACTGAAGGGGGACTATTATTACTAAATCTGTAAGTAGTTTGCTTAGCTCCCCACCATGAGGAGTCTGCTAAACCATGGAGAGTAGGAACATACCTCAACATTGTAAAAGCTATCTATGTTAAGCCCAATGCCAACATCATTCTAAATGGAGAAAAATTGAAAGCATTCCCTCTAAAAACTGGACTGAGACAGGGATGCTATTGTTAACTGCTTGTATTTAACATAGTTCTTGAAACACTAGCCAGAGCAATCAGACAGAAGAAAGAAATTGAAGAGATACAAATAGGAAATGAAGAACTCAAACTGTCACTATTTGCCAATCATATCATTCTATATTTAGAAGATTCAAAGAATCACACCAGAAAACTCCTAGAACTGATAAATGAATTCAGCAAAGTAGCAGGATATAAAATCAACACCCATAAATCAAATACATTTCTATACACCAGTGATGAATTCACTGAAAGAGAAAGTAGGAAGACTACCCCATTCACAATAGCCCCCACAAAAATAAAATACTTTGAAATCAATCTAACAAAAGAGGTGAAAGACCTCTACAAGGAAAACTTCAGAACACTAAATTTAAAAAAAAATTAAGAAGACTTTAGAAGATGGAAAAATGTCCCATGTTCTTGGATAAAAAGAATTAATATTGTCAAAATGGCCATACTACCAAAAGCGCTATACAGATTTAATGCATTTCCCATGAAAATCCCAATGACATTCTTCATAGTACTAGAAAAAGCAATCATGAAATTCATCTGGAAAAATAACAGATCCAGAATAGTTAAAGCAATCCTTAGCAAGAAGAGTAAAGCAGAAGGCATCACAATACCAGACCTTAAACTATACTACAAAGTAGCATGGTATTGGCACCAAAATAGACATGTAGACCAATGGTACAGGAAGGAAGCCACAGAGAAAAACCCACATAAATACAGTTATTTCATATTAGACAAAAGTGCTGAATGCCTACATTGGAGAAAAGATAGCCTCTCTAACAAATGGTGCTGGGAAAACTAGAAATCCATGTGTAGCAAAATGATATTTAACTCCTATCTCTCACCTTGAACAAAACTCAACTCAAAGTGGATCAATGACCTAGGAATTAAGCCAGAGACCCTGCACCTAACAGAAGAAAAAGTAGGTCTCAATCTTCATTATGTTGGATTAGGCCCTGACTTCCTTAATAAGACTCCTATAGAGCAAGAAATAAAATCACGAATCAATAAATGGGATGGATTCCAACTAAAATTCTCCTTCTCAGCAAAGGAAACAGTCAATAAGGTGAAGAGAGAACCTATAGAATTGGAGAAAATCTTTACCACAGTTACCTCACGTAAGAGCACTAATCCCCAGGATATATAAAGAAGTCAAAAAACATAACACACCCCCAAAATAAATAAATAACCTAATCAATAAATGGGCTAAACAACTGAACAGACACTTCCAAGAAGAAGAAATACAATCATTCAACAAATATATAAAAACTGATCAACATTATTAGCAATTAGAGAAATGAAAATCAAAACTACTCCAAGTTTCCATCTCACTCCAGTCAGAATGGCAATTATCAAGAATATAAGCAACAATAAGTGTTGGTGAGAATGTGGGGGAAAAGATACATTCATACATTGCTGGTGGGACTGAAAACTGGTGCAACCAATAGAGAAAGCAGTCTGGAGATTTCTTACAAAACTTAGAATGGAAACACCATTTGACCTATTCCATTCCCGGTCTATACCCAAAGGACTGAAAATCAGCATACTACAGCCATGCAGCCATATCAATGTTTATAACAACTCAATTCACAATAGTTAAACTATGGAACCAACCTAGGTGCCCTTCAACAGACGAATGGATAAAGAAACTATAGCATATATACACACAATGGAATATTACTCAGTCTTAAAGAAGAATGAAATTATAATATATGCCACTAAATCAATGAAGCTGGAGAATATCATGCTAAATGAAATAAGCCAATCCCAAAAAACCAAAGGAGGAATATACTTTCTCTGATTCATAATTGAGGGTGGTGGCTATGGAAGAATAGAGGAAGTTTGGAAAGGGCAGAGGGGAGTGAGGGGAGGGGAGGGGTATTGGGGTGGGAAGGATATTGGAATGAATAGGAAATTATTACCCTATGTACATGCATGACTGAACAGCTGGTGTGATTCTGCATTGTGTATATCCAGAGGAATGAGAAGTTGTGCTCCATTTGTGTACAATATATCAAAACGCATTCTGCATGTATAACTAATTAGAACACATTTAAAAATAAAATAAAAAGGAAGAAAAAGAAAATATCTCTTAATCTACCACTGTGAATCATTGATATGGGGATCAGTTTCTCTTCAGTATTTTTTAAAATTTACATCAGAAACGATACTAGTCTAGGATTTAAGGGTATTCTACTGCTAGGTCTACTAATAACTGTAAACATGGTAGGCCAATTAACCACTCTGTCGGTTTACTCATCAGTAAAATACATATTATATTAATAATCCCAAACTTAACATTATAGTATTGAGGATTTTAAGACTCAAATAAGTTAATGGCCATGAAAGCCTTCTGAATGAATTTACTAATTTACAGTAATTATGAAAATGTATTTATAGCATAAGGGTACACAGATGCATCAATCAAACAGTACCGAAATAAACCCACACACACATGGTTGATTGATTTTCAATAAAGGTACTGAGGTGATTTAATGGACAAAGAAAACTTTTAACAAATAGTGGTTGAAAATGTAAATCCACCTGAAAAACAGTTATCAACCCTCACCTCATCTCATAAAAAAATATTTAATAAGACATTGATATATACCTAAATGTGAAACCTAAAAATGTAGGACTACAGGAAAATTGGAGAAAAACTGTGACCTTTGGTAAGGCAAAAAATTCTGAAAGGACATAAATAGCATGAAACTTAAAAGACTTCATAATAATTTACTCATCAAAAAACACAGTAAAGAAAATAAAACACAATTCTTATATTGGGAGAAAATATTTGCAATTCACATATCTGAAAAAGTACTCGTATCCAGCATGCATAAATAACTCTTAAATCCCAATTATAAACTGGGTTTAAATCCCAATTATAGGCCAGGTAGATCCTGTAATCCCAGCAACTCCAGAGGTTGAGGCAGGAGGATCAAAAGATTGAGGACAGCCTTGGTAACTTAGTGAGATCCTAACTCAATCTAATAAATATAAAGGGCCAGGGATTAGCTCAGTGGTAGAATGCTCCTAAGTTAATTCCCCAGTATTGCAAAACAAAACAAAAACCATTTATAGAACCAGCAACAAACTAAAAAGCAGGCAATGCATTTGGATATATCAGTAAAGAAGATATATGAAAAATTATCCGGCATGAATATATATATATAATTTTCCGTTATGGAAATTCCAATTAAAACCACAATGAAGTACTACTACTAACATACTACAATGGCTCAAGTTAAGAGAATTAATAATATCAAGTATTGTTGAGAATGTAGAACAACTAAAATTTTCATACATTGCTGGTGAGAGTATAAAGTGGTACATCCATTTGGATTTTTTTCAGTTTGATATAAATTCAATATATTAATTTTCATCCAGTAATTGTAATCTTAGATAGTTAATCAGGAGAAATGAAAACACATGTCCCAAAATACTTATACACAAACATTTATAGCATCTTTTTTTTTCATAATATTCCTTAACTGAAAACAGTCCAACCTTCATTAGCAAGTGAATAAACAAATTGAGGCAGTATTTACCAACTGTTTGCACTTGTCAAAATTCATTTAATTGTATACTTAACTGATTTTTTTCTATGAGGAAATTATATATCAGTAAACCTGGTTAAAAATACAAGGAGTGTGGTGGCATGTACTAGTTACCATGGAGGCTAAAGCAAGAAAATAGGGAAACTTTGTCTCTTACAAGAAAAAATAAGAGTTCTGGTGTGTAGCTCAGTGGGAGAGAACATTCTTGACCCCCCAGGGTTCAATCTCCAGCAAAAGAAAAACAAAATCAAAACAAGACAAAATAGCAACAACAAAACAAGAAACCCACAATAAATTCTGAACAAAAACACCCTTTCTTCCTCCTGTCTAAGAATTTGTACACTTTGACTATCATTCATCTCCTCATTTCCTCACTTCTCAGTCTCTGAAAACCACCATTCTATTCTCTGCTTCTTTGAATTCAATTGTTTTATATTCCACATATAAGAAAGAACATGAAGTATGTCTTTCTGTACATGGCTTACTAATTGAAATTAATAATGGTCTCTAATTTCATCCATGTTTTGCAAATGACAAAATTTCTTTGTTTATTTTTAACCTGAATAGTATATGTGGTGAGGTGAATATAGTAAATGATGATGTATTATACATTTCAAAATCACTAAGAGAACAAATTTCGGATGTACTTACAACAAAAATTGTATTTCAGGTGATGGATAATTTAAATATATATATATATATATATATATATATATATATATATATATATATATATGATTATTCTATATTTGATTCATAAATCATATTAACATTTTTGTGCCTCACGGATATGTACTCAAAGAGTATAGCAGAATCTTTGACCTGGTTCAAATAGCTCCATAAAACACATTAAAATTAGCTAATTCTGGGCTGGGGTTGTGGCTCAGTGGTAGAGTGCTTGCCTAGCATGTGCAAGGCCCTGGGTTCGATCCTCGGCACCACATAAAAATAAATAATTAAAATAAAGGTATTGAGTCCAACTATAACAAACAATTTTTAAAAAATTAGAAAAAGTAGCTAATTCTATGGTTATTTTGTTGTTTCAATTGAGAGGATGCTGTGGTATTAATCACATTCAATCTGTGAACATGTTTATTGTACCATTTATTTTATCAGCTTAGTTTAGAATTTATTTTATTTGATAAAACTGCTTCCTTTTCAGATTATTTAATATCAAGTAAAACATCTGCACAAGCTAAATTCCTATCCAGAGGCACTCTACAACAATCTAAGCTATAAGTAAGCATTATAATAAAATTCAACATGCTCCTGCCACAATACATTTTACTAATTCTAAACCTTTGTTTTTATTAGTCAGGGCATTTTCAGAGCAGCAGTATTAGTAAAGTGCTGACCAGGAGGACTTTTTGAATACAGGAGATAGCTATCATCATTATAGTAGTGTCTCCATTGAATACACAGTCCTGCTGGGCTGCATCATGGTCCATCAGAAACATTTTGAAAATATTTATTCCAATTTGCCAAAGTCACAAAGAATCTTTTGATATGCAGATCTCTAACTTTTCATGCAAATGTTTCTCCTACTCAGTATTTATCAAATATTTCAAAAGCATAAACATTTAATACAGTTTTATATTATAGACCTTTTCTTCACGGAGCTGTATTTTGCAAGCCTATTAAACACTTCCTAGATTACAATCTGTGATTTATGTGTACTTTAGAGATTTTCCTTAGGAAATGGAGTGCTTGTGAGTGGAACTTGTAAGATAACACTGAATTTCACAAAACAAAATGTAGCTTATTTTTCTTGTTAAAGTCCTCCATTCATTCCTAGTAAGTTTTGTTGATACTTCTCCAAAATAATTAGGGAGCACCCAAGATTCCATGAAGATCAAAATTTAGGTGCTAGTTTATGATACAGCTAACTACTCATGCCTCACTTACTGTGCCCATCAGCTTGTCTCATAAACATTTTGGTTTAGTTAGAACTCCTAGCAATATGGATTTTTAGTGATGTATCTCAATCAGAAACTCCACTACACCCAAACTGAGTATTGGTGGTTTTATAGTAATGATTATCAAATGCACCATAGGGAATATTCTTTCAATATGGTACAATAAATCCCAGGAATAAAAGATGGTTTCCATATGGGAAGAAGATTTTTAATGATACAGCTCCTGATCATATTTGATTTTATATAAATTAGCACTTGAATAATAGTACTGATATTATTTCACAATATAAATTTACTCGTTCCTTCACTCACTCAGCAATTAGGCATTGAACATCTAAGTGCCAGGCTGTACAACTAGGTAACAAAAAATGAGTAAAATAAGGATTTGTCTTCAAAAAAAGATGAATATACTTAAGAAATAAACAAAGTGATTTTCATCCTCAAATAATATTAGTAGGCATATGTAAATGGAAGATGGTACAACAATTTTCTCTGAAGTGTTTACTTTTCTAAACTGGGAAGTGTGAAATCTGCAATTACAACTGATACATGAGGTTTTATATAATTACTTTATAATTTAGCTAACAATTCATAGGTGAGGTGAATGGAAATATTTACAAATAATTATTATAAAATGATATTTTTACATAGGTGTGTATCTTTGACAATTAAAGAAAAAAGTTGGTGTGACATTGTGATGTGTTATAAAGGATACCTTTAATGTGATAGGACTTCTTGTTCTCACAGCATCTACCAAAATGGAAATCACTGGATTACTATATGTCCTTTAGAGTTCAGTAAAAATGTTCATTGATATTTCTGGACTGGACACTCTGCTCTGCCTTCCTGATCTTCAGCTCCAAACCTTCTCAAGTGGGCTGTCATCCCAGAGGGGAGAGGTCTTGGAAAGAATCCTCTGAGTCTTGAGCCCGACCCTATCTGACCTGTTTGAGAGTGCTAAGTGGAGCAAACTTAACAGCTGTGCAATCCAGGCTTCTCGTCTGTAGTTTCCATAGCCTGTGCCAAGTGGTGGCCTGCAGAGTAATTTTAATCCTTAACTTGGAATTTAGAAATATTATATGACCAAGTAGGATAGCATAGCATGATCTCTTATACTTCAGAATCAACAACTTTATGATCCTGTTAGCTGGAATACAGTTTAAATACAGGATTGTATTGTGCTCTTTGACCAAGTGGCAAATAAATTTCAAAAGACAATTTCCTTCTGTGTTTACAATGTTCAATATTTTAAAACCTGACATGTTATGAACATTTGGAAAACAGAATCTGTTAAGTGACATAAATTTCAATTATAGGAAAACTGAAAAGATTTTTGAGAAAATAACAGCTGTTGTCTTTTCTGATTAAATGCTATTTTTGATAACATCTTAAGATTACTAGTCTCTGATTTGAACACTTGACAATATTAAAAAAAAGAACTTTTGTATTTGGAAAGAAGTACTATGTAGCCAGATTTTCAGAAGATTCCAAAGTTATCTAGTAAGATAGGATACTGACTAACAAAGGGATACCATTTATATGTCTATGCAGAAAACATATTGACATACAGATTGATAGCTTATGTCAAAATTTAATAAAAACATAATTATGTATTGCACGTTGTCAAAGGAAGCCTTTCAGTTTAGTAACAAGTGACATTAAGGAAAGGTCATCTCTATTCATATCCATTCTGTATTTGCTTTGGGAATTGTTTTTAAACTTCTCTTAGAACAGGTATATTATCATATTTTTAAAGATGGTCTTCAGAAGAAGTTGCAATTCAAGATACGGTTATCAGGGATCACTAGAAAAAAATCTCTGCTTTACCTTTGATTTGTTTTTTAAGATGGAGTGTCACTGTGTCAACTAGGCTGGTCTCCAACCCATGCACTCAAGTGATCCTCCCACCTAGTCTCTCTGCTGATTAGCTGGTACTACAAGTATATACCACCATACTCCACCACTAGTTAAAAAATGAACATTTGCTTTAAAAAGACATTTCCATGAATTTCACGTTAACTACCTTGTTGTACATGAATATTACACTTGGTCATCAAACTCTATAATAAAATAATACCCACTTAAACCAGCCACCAATTATTAATACATCCAGCACTCTGATTGATATTCAAGTTGCCTGAGATAATCAATGCAGAGCCCCAGAATGCTTAATCTTTAAAATGGGAGTAACATAGGTACTGTAAAAGTCTGCCTCATTTAATACCTTCTCCTAATGAATTCAGAATTTGAAAAATTAATTTTACCTTATAATCCAAGAGAGAATTCACTTGTTCTACTTCAGAATTACTTATCATGTCACTTTCTTCATCATCAATAATTTCTATTTTCTGTAATACAAGTAGAGAAGTTTCTATAAATATTTATTAGACGATTTTCACTATATTCAACAATGTATAGAACACACATAATTAAGGTTAGGTTTAGCAAATGAGTTATCTAGACTAGGTTATCTGGAATAAATTAACTGCCTCCTCAGTGTTATTCAGTGATTTTGTGCCCCTTCCTTTTACCTTTAATTGATGACTGCTTAGAATATAGAAAACTACTTTAATACTATTTAAAATAGAAAATTACTTTTCACAATATCCCTTAAAAAAACAAAACAACAAAAACAGGCATTCAATTCTGCTTAAATAGCGCCCTCCAGCGACAGGGAACTCACTTCCTGTAAGGATAGTCTATTTTAATGGTAAACATACTATCAATAGGAAGCACTTTCTTTTTTATCTCCTCAGGCCTTTTTGTTACCTCTAATGTAAAATATCAACATATGGTGTATTCCAAAGGCAAATACAATTTTTAAAAATCACAAATTTACTTCACTCTATTAGCTAGACAATTGAAAGCAGATGTTTATGATGTAATGATTAAAATTGCATGGTGATTTTTTTTTCTTCATTAGACACTATGGAAACTAGTGAGTAGGTGAAAAAGACAAACAGAGAGACAAAAATGCCCTTAGCTTTGAAATGAAGAAACAACACAGCTTGTGCAGCATCTTGCACACAGTAGGTCCTAATTAAATAACTGTCCAAAGAATGAACAAAATTGCTCAGTCCTGATGAAAAGAATTGCCAATAAGCTATAAACATGAGGGTAATGCAAATTATCTAATCACATATACGTTTTTTTTTAAAAAGCAAAAACCAAAAGACAATATCAGCTCTAAATTTTTCTTTTGCATGTAAAAAAACACAGTTAAAAATTAAAAGCACCCTGAAACATTTAAACTCTTTAAAAAAGGGAAAAGCTCAGCAAGACCTAGTCACTAGACAAGTCTTTTAAGAACAAGCACATTAATAGCAGCATGTTGTAGACAGAATTTGAAATTAGGCTTCCTACCCAGCAATATATATGGTGATTAAAAGTCGCAAACAAACGTGGAATAATCATATTTGAAATATTGCCTACGAGGATATGATACCATTACAGGGTTTCTGACCTGCAGGCTTCTGAATCAGAAGGACAGCTGCAATGAAATTGCTTTCTACTGCTGCCTGGAGATGAATCTAATGTTTTGTTTTCTATTATAATCACTATAAACTTGGGACTTAATCATGTTGGCTCTCCCTAGACCTCAGAAATGATACTTTTTTTGATGTTTTTCATATTCTCTAACTATTTGGATTGGTTCTGGGAAAAAAAGGAGCTAAGCAATCCAGGAAGGAAGGCACCAAAGGCCACTGTATAGATTTGTGCATATAAATAGGTCTTATATGTCTGTGTGATTTGTCATCCATGAATAATTGGGGGCACTCCAAAGTTACAGGCAGAGGAGATCAACCTTTGAAAGTTTGGAGCTTTGTCTCTGAAAATCAATTGTTCTTGAAAAATTAGGTGCCTAAGTGACTGTGAGTCATTCCACGCAATGACTTCATTCATTATCTTCAAATGTCTGCTGCAAGGGAGATTCAAGGCAGGCTAAAAATGAGCATTTTTTTCAGGAGAAAGAGGTTTCAATTTGTAAATACATGTATATGGCTTATATACTATGATTCAAATCTATATCAGAAGGAGATTATTAGTTGGTGCAATTTAGGAATATTTACAAAATGTAAAATTCTAGAAAACTAATATTTTTTGTTACATAATGAAAAAATGACTTTGCCTCAAAAATCAAAGCTTTTTTTTTTTAGGAGTGTAACCTGTTGAATTTAGTGTTAGAAGAGTCAAACATAGACTTCAGCCAGGACTTAATAAAATGCAATCCTAAGCTGCATTTTACATATGATTAACAATATTAAATATTGTAAATATTTAACAAACAAGAGCAAAACTGCATATTGTATGTGCTTAATTTTTATTAAACAGATGTGGCAGGATCATAGGGACAAACAAATAATGTTGGTAATGGAAGTCAGGGTTAATTTTGATATCACAGTAATTTTGGAACAAAAAAAAATCCATTATCGGGGCATAATTTTAATGACTGCAATCAAGCACAAAATACTGATTCAAAAGGGAAAAAAAATACACAATGACTTTTCCTATTCCCCTCTATGCATGATTTTGCTTAACATTGTCTTAATTTCTATATTATTTGATGGAGTCAAGTATAAACAAATGCTTCTAAAACAGCTGCTGAGGGAACCTTATTATATGTTTACATTTTCTCAAAACCCAGATTAATCCACACACAGCCTGACTCTGCCTGCTGTTGAACTGTAATATTTTTGTTCCTCCTTTACTATGATGTTTAAGGTGAGTAACAGAGTTCAATTTAAGTAGAAAAAAGAAACAATTCTAAATATAGTATAGATAGGTATGGTCTACACAGAGAAATCAGAGTCAGAAATCCTGGGTCTGGAAAACAAGTACCATAACTGACAAAGGCTTCCTTCATGATCTCAGGCTAAACTCCATTTTAATTCTGCTTTCTGTCAAATGAAAAGAAATCTGCTACTTGCTAAGTATGTTAGAGAAAAATAACTTTTCATACATAAAGTATCATATTTATAAGTATTGTTTTTTATTTGAAATCCCCTAAATAAAACACATTGAGGCATTTTAAATTTTATTTATTAAGTGTTCAAAGATATCATTCAAGCATATATAAGTTCATTAAAAAAAGCTGTTTTGCTTTGTGAAGTAGAGAAAGACATTATTCTGACAAAGCTGATTCTGTCACCAACTGGAAATATGTCTTGAAATCCATCACGTAATGAGGAAAGAATTTCAAAGTGTACATACCACATTATCTGCGGATACTGCATGGTGGTCCTCCTCTTTCTGAGCCCTTGACTCATTTGGAACAATATCACTGGGCTCTTCTATAGGGGAAAAAAGGATAATTTCATTTTTCATACCTCAAAACTTAATATTGAGTGTGTTTTTTTCTCAAGACCACTTAAATAATGTCTCTATTGTAAAAAGATACAGATGGCAAATTCACTTCACAAATGCTTTAATGGGCAATTCTACTTCTAACAATGTTTCCTAAGGAAATAAGTGTGGATGGTCTCTACAGTGCTATTTAAATAGAAAAAAGGAAGAAACCTATAACATTAGCAATGGAGACTGGGAGAAATCACTTAGGACCTATCTTTACAATAAATACTATAAAGCCACTAAAAATGAAATAGAAGAATAGTTAGCAACAGGGAAATTAATAACCATCTACTGTAAAATGAAAAATAAAGGTGACCAAACCTACCATGTAGATACACATACTTTTAATTGGGTAAAGGAGAAAAAATCATATTTTAATGGAGAGGAAAAAAAAAGAATGGCACTGTTTACATCAAAATATTACTATTATTACCTCTGGATAGAGATTTTTTTCAATTTTCTTATTTTTCTTATTGTATATAAATATTTCTATGGAGAAAATTTATTGTTCATTACTATTGGAAAAAAATTATTAAAATCATTATCTTGTATATATGCTAAGAGAAAATACTGGCCAAAATATCCCCTAATCCCCATTTCCAGAGGGGTTATCACTGAGAGGTAGAATTACTTCTGTTTTTATTGTATTTACCAAATTTTTCTACAATGAAGATATACTCCTTTTTTTTTAATATTTATTTATTTTTTTAGTTCTCGGTGGACACAACATCTTTGTTTGTATGTGGTGCTGAGGATCGAACCCGGGCCGCACGCATGACAGGCGAGCACGCTACCGCTTGAGCCACATCCCCAGCCCGAAGATATACTCCTTTTCTTATTAAATTAAATATTTTACAATAGTGAAAGAAAAAATTTAGGAAAGAAAGTAATGTAGTTTTGGGGAAAAAATCCAACTTACTAAAACACTCTTCATGCTAAATTATGGAAAGTGGCTGATTCAAGGCACTGGGTGTCTGCATACATTATTGCCCCTGTTTTATCTTTTAACCATTAGAAAACACAGGATAACAATGCCCCCCCCCCTTCTTGGCCACATCATTGAGATTATTTGGATATATATTAATAGATTTTCCCTGTTCTTTGGCAGTTGGGATTTTATTTCACATTAGAAAGAATAACAAAAATATCAGCCCTCCCAAATTTTTTCTGAGCCCATTCCTTCCCATGTAAACATATGTAAGAGTGTCTTATATGAGCATAGGGATGATTAATAGGAAATCATGCAGAATCCAGGAACTCACTTAGGAGAATTCTATGAGAGAATTCAAGTTGAAGAAATCCAGGAAAACTTTAGCAAGAATTTTGATATGAAGTCTACTATAAATTTGATTTAATCTTTTTTCTGTCTCTTACTAGGTCTATTTTAAAAATAAATTTTAGGGGCTTGGGTGTAGCTCAGTGGTAGAGTGCTTGCCTAGCATATGTGAGGCATTGGGTTTAATTCTCAGCACTGCATTTAAATAAATAAAATAAAGGTCCATTGACAACTAAAAATATTTAAAAAATCTTATTGTGTATACTTCTGTTATACAACATGATATTATAATGCACATGTATATAGTAAAATGGTTAGTTTACTGAAACAAATTAATATATCTATCATTTCATATAGTGAAACTCTCCCGGGAAATAGCAGCTATAAACATTTAGCAAAACCCCTGAATACAATCCACTATCATTAGTGATAGTCCTCATGTTTTACATTAGATCTTTCCACTCATTCATCATACATACTTGCTGCTTCACATCCTTTAACTGAAGTCGTCCCATTCCCCATCTCTATTCTAATACTAATTTTTATTTTCTACTTCTATATATTTGATCTTCTTTTTTCCCTAAAATTTGCTACAATGTGGTTGGACTTAAAAGATGTTATTCTAAGATAAACTAGACAGGAAAATATTACATGATCCCATTTATATGTGGAATCTAAAAAAAAAGTCAATTTAAATTTAAAAAATAGAATGGTTCCTAGACAAAGGGACTGTAAACCTATTCATTATTTAGACATTTCAAATCATAGACCTTTAAAGTCCTACTAAATTGGCAACTAAATGAAATGAAGGGAGGAAAATTTTTCATCAGCTTTAGCTGCAGAGTTGGTGGTCTCAGAAGACGGGTTATATTGCTCACCAACAAGATCATTATTGGTACTATTCCTTATAGGTTTGCCATATATTCCTGTTCTCATTTACTTGTAACTTTGTGCACAGTTTTGCTCTACTGGCAACATATTTATGCATGGTTTGATTATTTTAGAAGACTTAAATAAAAACTATTTTGAGGATTTCTAAATAAAAACGTGAAGTGATGCATTGAATAAGAAAGATTTTCTTTTACATTGTGAAAGCTTGGAAAATAAACATTGTTAATAAGTCTGATTATTAAGAAAAGCAGCTCTGCTAACTGGAAAATAAATAAGCAGAATTGTTAATGAGTTACAACTCTAGAGGGCACTCTATGATGTGGCTACATACTCACACTAGGGAATTGTATGCCAAATTATTTTTCATGTGCACAACCACATAATAGATACAGCAGAAAAAAAGCTTTGCTGCAAAAATTAATATTATAGATGCTAATTGTTCCCAAACTTTAATCACTTTGCTCCTCAGAATAGTACAAAACATTCAAAATTTCTTAACCATCAGTATATGTTTTAGAAAATAGAGAACTTGAAATTAGGGAGCTCATTCATCCAAGCATTCCTTTTGCTGAAGTTCACAGTTTGTGGAGGGATGAACTAGGAGGATTTAAAAAATTTTAGTCCCAACCATATCTCCCTTTTCTTCATCCCTGCACAGGGATAGTAAAAGGAAGTCAAAGAGGGGAAAGTAGGAGTAGAGTTAGAGGTAAGCCAGAAGCTCTGTGTTAGGGACATATCAGTACCTCAGAGATAAAGGAATGGATTTGAAACTGCGAAAAGATTAGCAACATAGCAGCATTTTTTGACTCCAGCAAAACCTGCCTTTAACTGCAATTAAATAGTCTTATGTTTGTTATGCAGATGTTTTAGAAAATTTTATAGCATTTTTATTGATTTTAACATGTAATTTCTAAGCACATATTTAAAGATATCTTTCTCTTTTTATAAATCCTATTGAATCAGTAGATGTGTTATAAGGACTTTGAATTTCAGTTGCTAGATTTTTGAAATGGTATGATCTGTTACTCTAATCATTCTGTACGTATATGTCTAAGAGTAAATTAATGAAATTCTCAAAGTAGACATACATCTAACTGAATTCTCATAAACTGTAACAGAATATGGTTAGCATATTTAAAGGTTTGATATTAGTTTAAACCAGATGATACAATTAACTTAATCCTCACAAAATGATCACAGTCAAACCAATCAGATTAGTATTCTCCATCAGCAAAATGAGGAAGAGAATAGAAGTAGTAGTAAACTGCACAAAAAGGGGCTCTTTTCTGTATTTGAAAATGCTTTTCTGTTGCAATTTCTGATGAGAATGAAAAGGTTATCATGCAGCTGTGAAAAATAAGCCGCCGAGAGAAATTCTAGGCAATCGCACTTCTCGTCAAGTGTTTTTTGATTCATACATTAAATTCTCTCTCTCCTCTTTCTCATTAGGTCTTGATTACTATGCCAGCTGTCTAGAGAACATGCTATTATATGACAAAGAATGCCAGTGTAGGAGCAATGGTTTATTAAAAGTGGACCATTACAGAGGGCTTTAAAATTAACTTTCACTTTTTTTCCATTAACTGCCTTTTTTCTAAAATTCCCTTATAGGTGGGGGAGTGGCAGTTAAGGAATAAAAATCCACCTAGGGGCTTCTGAACTTTATCAGAATATTTCCTCACAGCCTTTCCCACCCACTCTCAGAAAGACACAAATCCCTGTTTCCCCACTAGCCTTCAACTAGCTGACAGACATTATGTTCTAAAGAGCCTGTCATGAATCACTGGGAATTTCCAAGTATCTCCAGGACTGAGAGAAGACAAAATTGTGTTTAATGAACCCACTATATTAGAAATAAAGGGATTAGAAGTGATGAAATGCTTCTTTTTTTAAAATTTGGTCCTTTTTAAATCTGCTTCACAATTTCCTTGTATATTAAATTTTGTTACCATCTTCACCAATATCAGTAACAATGGGGAAAAAGAGTGAGAAAGAGAGATAAAGAGGGAAAGAGAGAAACTTGAACATTTCACATTCATAAACTGATAACATTTTAAACACCTGGTCTTGAAGTACATAGCCCTCTCAACAGTGACAGCTTTTCTTTCCCTTTTATTACTTAACCTACTGCAATGTTTAATTTCTGCCAGTGCATGTATTAATTGCTTTTTCTAAGAATCCCTTAAAAACAGATTTAATGGCCTCTCCATTCTACTCAACGTCTGCGAGATCACTGAGATAATAATGACCACTCTTCTTTCTGAAATCTTCCTTTTTCCTTTGTCTCCTGTTTCTGAATGATCTTTTAATGGCTTCTTTTATCTTCTCTAGTCCCCAAATCTGAAATTTTCTCAACACCCAGTCCTTGTCCATTGTCCTTTATTTTTTTTTCTTACTCAATAAATCTTCTATTTTTATGTCTAGGAGTTTTTGGTTTTGGTGTGGGTGATTCAAATATTTCACATTTTCTTAACCTTGCTTCTGAGTTCCAGACCATAGTATCTAAGCGCTTGCTGGACAGCTCTATAAAACTCAATAAATGCAAACCAGAATTAATATTTCTATAATAGCTTATCCATTTTATGCAATGCCAATAAAGTATTGAATGGGTTTTGAAGATGAAATTAGGAAAAGATAAAAACTAAACAATTCTAAATTTTATTCAGAAGAATCAAGAGCTAAGAATAACAAGAATCCTACCAGATTTTGAGACATTTCATAAAGCCACGTTGTAAATAGATTCACATAACATAAGAGGAACTTCAGAATTTCACCTAGTGTGTATATTTGTATGGGTTCATGCATATGTATGTATGTATTTACGTATGTATGCATATAAATGTATGCATCTTTGACACAAAGCTACACTTAAGCACACTGGAAAAAAGATATATATTATTTAACAAATAGTGCAGAGATAACTATTTACATCTTTGAAAATATAAAATTAGGCATTTTCCTAACACACATTAAGGCAAAATAAATTATAAGTGAAATAAATATGAATATTTAAAAATAATACTATAAAATATCAGAAGCAAATATAGAGGTATATTTGCATAGCTGTATCACAAAAAAATGACAACCACGTCAGGAATCATAAAGGAAATATTGGTAAATCTGACAATATTAAATTACAACAAAAATTCTGACATCAGAAAAACATCATAAACAAAATTAAAAGGCAAATGATGAACTGGAAAATGTCAATGTATGAGTGTCAGTATCCTGAATAGGACTCAATGAAACAAAACAAACAAAATGGGCAAATACATTATTCTCCTTGTTTCTCAATCACAGATGCAAAATTATTATAGATTGTATGATTCCATTTATTTAAAATATGCAGAAAATGCACATTTATGTAGTCAAAAACCAGATTAGTAGTTCCCTAAAGCTGAGGATGGAAGGGGATATTGACTGAAAATAGGTTTTTTTTGAGTGATGAAAATGATCTAAGATTAGATTTTAGTTATAGTAATGGTTTTAAATTTAATAAAATAATTGAATTGTACACTTAAAATGGATGAATTTTATGAAATTTAAATTAAACATTAATAAAAGTGTTAATAAAAGTAGCATTAGTATTATTTCCATGGTTGAAGTCAAATGAAATACATTTCTCATGGACAAATGATTCCATGGTATTATTTGCAGTTTCATTTAAGGAAATATTGAGAGGTTTTTAAAGACAATCCAATCTAATTTCCTTCTGCAAGTGAGTAAACTAAAGCCCAGTGGATTAAATGATTTGCCTGAAGTCATATAATCAGATAATGGAAAAGATAGGACTTGCAAGCACCCAGTTTGCTACACTCCAAGCCTGTTGTTCATTATGTTGTACCATACTCCCTTGCATTACAGTGTATTTTAGTGCTCTAATCTAAATTGACCAGAACTCCAATAAAATAAAGATAATCATTTATTTAATTATAATATATGAATTATTGAAATAAATAGCATTTTAATGTGTAGGAGATCATTTTTGTGGTAGATGACTGCTACTTGTGTAAGTTGATGAGGGAGACTATTTAATGGAAACATTAAAAATGAATCTCTTTCTTTACAAATTCTTGGTCAAGTGTTTTGAAAACTCTACATTTGAGGTGCAGTGAGCCAAAAAGCAAGAAAAATGCATCAGATTTATAAAGGCTATTATTAGGAGGTGTAGCAAGCACATAAAGTACCTTGAGAGCTTCCTTCGGACAAACAGATGGATACTTCATCATTTCTGTCATTATCCTCTCCTACTTCATGCCCAGCTTCCTCTCCTTGTGTGAGTGCAGACAAAGAAACAGATTCGGGCTGCTCAGAGAAATCAGCAGGGCCTCCTCTTGGAGGTGGAACTTCAATCCCCATTAAACGGTATTTCCTTCGTCGATTCCCAATCCAAGTCTTTATAAAAAAATATAAGAGGGAGTTTTATAAATGTAGAAAATTTAGCAGTCTGGCCATTAAAAATGAATGGATGCTACATAAAATTTGAATAAAAAGAATAAACAGGTACAGAATAATGAATTTATGTCAATAAGCTAAAATAAAAATAATTTTGTTTTATTTCAAAAGAGATTATTAGCACAAGCAGAATATTTATCTAAATATTCAGATTTTAGAACAATATACAATCTAGTAGAGACCACTTTGTTTCTGTTTTTACCTTATTTCTGAGGAAATCAATTCACCAAATCTCTCAAAAGTGAATTGCCTCTTTTTTTTTCCAAAATAAATAAATAAGTAAATAAGGCCATTACTTTAGTTCTATATTCCTATAGTTCAAATGCCATTTCAAGTTTTGTTCCTTCTAGGTAAAAAATGTGCTCTTTATTGCTCTCTATTCTAAAAATTTAATTTTATTGTATTTAGAATCAATTTTTGAAACATGTTGAAATAATTTTAGAATCACAAAAAAATTTCAAAAATAGGTCTTGTGTGATTTTTCACTCCATTTCCTCCAAATTATACTTTACAATATTATAGCACAATATCAAAAGCAGGAAATTGATACTGTACTATATATATATATATGTTCTTTTATTATACCATAACTTTACCCCTCCACACTATCCTTGACTTTTGGCAACCACTAATCTATTGTCTACTTCTGTATCTGTTTCAAGAATATTATATAAGTGGAATCATACATCAGTAAATCTTTTAAAATCAGCCTTTTTTTCCCATTCAGCATAATTCCCTGGAGAGTCATTTAAGTTGTATCAGTAATCCATTTTGTTTTACTACCAAGTGGTATTCCATGGTATGTATGTACCAAAGTTTGTTTAATCTTTCAGCTGTTGAAGGACACATGTTGTTTTCAGTTTTGGGCTATTATATATAAAGCTATTATGCACACTCATGAATAGGTTTTTGTGCAGACATAAGTTGCAATTTTTTAAGGGAAAATAAATAAGAATACAATTTTGGGATTATATGTTAGATTATATAAGAAACTGCCAAATTGTTTTCTAGTGGAGCAATGCCATTTTACATTACTATTGGTAATGTATGAGATATCCAACTTTTCAGCTTTCTTGCCCATATTTACTGTTGTCAACAATTTTTTAAAAATTGGATGTTCCCAATCGTGTGTAATGAAGGTTCATCAAGTTTATCCTTCCTTCCTTCCTTCCTTCCTTCCTTCCTTCCTTCCTTTCCTGAGGATTGAACCTAGGGTCTTATGCATGTTAAGCAGGCACTCTACCACTGAGATTCATTGAGTTCTTAATTTGGTTTTTCTAATTGGTAGTGATGTTGAACATCTTTCCATGTGCTTATTTGCCATCTGTATATCCTCTTCAGTGAAATTTCTCTTCATTTTCTAATTGAAGTTTTTGATTGAACACACAAGAGAGTGTAATTTTAGAGCCCTTCATATAGTCTATATATGAGTTCTTGGTCAGATATGTGGTTGACAAATATTTTATCCCAATCTTTAGCTTATTTATTTCCTCCTAGTCTTCCACAACAGAAAATTAAAAACTGCTTTAAAATAAAAACAACAGGAAAATTGATAAGTATCTAGCAAGACTGGCAAGGAAAGAAAAATAAAATAAAACGTTAATATCAGGAATGAACCAAAGAATGTCACTATAGACTTTGCAGACACGAAAGGAATAACAGAATAATAAAAACAACTTTACCCACACAAATATCATGGTTTAGATGAGATGAAATAATCCATTGAAAAGCACAAACAGACTCAACATAAAATAGTTAAAATTATAATGCTATTTTCAAAAAACAAATTCTGAGGTATAAACTTAACAAAACGTGTACAAGATTTATGTGCTAAAAATTACAAAACACTGATGAAATAAGAATGGTTCTAAATATACAGAGAAATATTATGTGCTAACAGATTAGAAGACTCAGTGTTCTAAAGATGTAAATTCCTCCTAAAATGATATGCAGGATTAGCAAAATTCCTATAAAAATCCAGGCAAGAATTTTTGTGGATATATTTAACAGATAATTGTAAAATTCTTATGGAAGGGACATGAGTTAGTATAGATAAAACAATATTTAAAAAATACAGTGGAAGGAATCCTGACACTCAATTTCAAGACATTAGGTCAATGGACCAAAATACCCAAGTCAGAAATAGCCCCACACAAGCATGCAGAGCTCAGCTTATTTTTGACAAAGGTACAGAAACCATTTGATGGGGTATGGTAGTCTTTTCAAGAAATGATGCTGGGGATGCTAGGGTTGTGGCTCAGTGGTAGACCATTTGCCTAGCATGTGTGAGGTACTGGGTTTGATCCTCAACACCACGTAAAAATAATAAATAACATAAAGGTATTGCATTCATCTACAACTATAAAAAATTTTTAAAAAAGAAATGATGCTGAAACAATTGGATATCCAAAGGAAAATGAAATGGACCTCAACTTAAACCCCACACCTTATCAAAACATGAACTCATAATGATTATAGATTTAAATTTCAGTCCTAAATTGGATTATGATACTCCTTCCTTGTATTTCAACCAGAATTTCTTCTGTATAACAGGGACTGCAGAAATACAAAGCCACCTTAGAAATATAAATACAAAGCATGAATGAAGTTACCTTTATACTTTGTAAGATTTTTCAAACCAATACATATAAGGCAACACAGAAGAACTATTCAGTTAGTCCAGTGATACCAATTTTTCTTTGTAATTGTTGGGAAATCTTCAAATTCAGGAACTTTAGGATGTTGGATATGTTTAGCATCCAATACTATATGTGAAGTCTGAAATACATGGATTGTTTTGTAAACTGCCAAGTTAAAACCATACAAAAGAAAATAAAACTATTTATGGGTATTAGTTTTTTCTAATTTTACTAACTTCCCACTTGGAAGGAATATTAGTTAAAAATTTTTGATCTATTTCAATTTCCAATTATATTATCTCACTGAAAATGGAATACTAGACTTCAGAAAAAGTAAAGAACTGCAACTTCTTACTAAAATACCTTCAAATTGTCAGTGGTCTCTCTGTTTTCCATCTGTGAATTCTGATGTATAAAAATTATAATGCAAAAGTTTTTTCTTTTACAATAGTCCTGGACCATGTTGCTGCAGTGATAGTATAAACAATTGGAGGAAGACACCAGTTTCCTCAGAATACTTCTTGTTTCATTTGGGTCATAAAATATATTGGACAAAATAAAGGAACACAAGGACCAAGTTCTTCTTTATCTTCAACTTTTTTGCAACATTTTTGGGAGAGTTGAGTGATTGTGAAATGTACAAAGATAAAGATATGTAATATGAATATTGAAAGTATATGGGAACTTATTGCATAAGAAGGCTAAAATATTTCCTATTTGATACTCCTCAAACTAAAAGGCAATGGGAAATGACTCTATATAAATACATTTCTAGTGGGTTTATTACATTTTTATAGAATCATTGAAGATGGAAGTGATCTTAGAAGTTGCTATGGTTGGAATATTCATATCCTCCTCTCAAAATTACAATATTGAACTCCAAATCACCAAGGTAATAGTGTTAGGAGATAGGGCCTTTGAAAGTTTAACAAATCATAAGGGTAAACTCTCATAAATGGCATTAGTGCATTTTCCAATGAAACCTCAGAGAGCACCCTCACCCCTTCCATCATTTGAATACAGCAAAAACACCACTATCTGTTTAGACCTGTACTGGACACAAAATATGCTAGCACATTGACCTTGGATTTCTCTACCTTTATAAGTGTGAGAAAAATAAATTCTGTTGCTTATAAGCCACCCAGTCTCTAGTATTTTGTTGTAGCCACTTGGTTAATTTTATAGGCTAACTTAATTGTGCTAAGGGATGCCCAGATAGCTAGTAAAACAATATTTCATGTGTTTCATAAGGATGAGCTGTAAAACATTAGTATTGGAATAGGTAGACTGAGAAGTTAACTCTTTGATAAGAGGGAGGGCATCAGCCCAATCACTGAGAGCCTTAAGTTTCCATATTACCTTTGCATAAAAACTCCAGGAATATGGAACATAACACTGTGCAAGTTTACTAAGTCCAGTTTTTTCACAGTTTTGTTTAAAGTTTCTCATTCTTAAACTGATTCAATATTTATTTTCTTTTTTCCTGTTGGCAATGTTTCCATTTCTTTCCTCCAGATTTTCTTCAAGTCAAACTCCCTATACATTCCAGCTATTCTAGAGTATATTTCATTGTTTCAAATTAAACACTCTTATTTTTTTTAACACTCTTAATTTTGAAATACACAATTTTAAAATAATTTTGTATGATTCATTAACAAGTTATTTTGTCACTATGGGCCTCAAGCTACTTATGTGCAAAATCAGGGAACTGGTTTCCAAATCTTGTATTTTCCTGATTATAAATGTAGCTCTGAGGTGGTAATACATCTGTAGATTAACACTATATATTTTCTACCAGAATTTCTATGTATTAACATCAAAAATATAATGGTTATTAAAATGAGTACCATCAGATCCCATACATTTCCAAGCACATTTCTGTTAAACAATATGAACCTATATTTCAAACTTTTAGTGTAAATATATGTTACTATATATTTGGCAATCTGTGCATGATATATAGAGTATATCTTTCTGTTAGAAATTCATTCACTAGGGCTGGGGATGTGGCTCAAGTGGTAGCGCACTTGCCTGGCATGCATGGGGTGCTGGGTTCGATCCTCAGCACCCATAAAAATAAAAAATAAAGATGTGTCCACCGAAAACTAAAAAATAAATATTAAAAAATTCTCTCTCTCTCTTTTTCTCTCCTTCTCTCTCTTAAAAAAAAGAAATTCATTCACTAATTCCACAAATAGTACAAAACAACTATTATGTACCAAGCACTGCTATGGTGCTGGGGATATGGTGGTGAGCATAATAGGCACAATCTGTATTCTGATGGATACTGAACTTACAAAC